CCCCCCTAGGCCCAGGTCAGCACCACTGAAGACAGTGGCTCTCCACCCTGACAAGACCCACCCACCCTGTGCAAACGGGCATGTGTGCTGTGCTCTTAAGGCCATGCTAAGTCCCTGTTCTAATGGAGGCCACAGCGCTTGGGCCTCTGTACCTTGGGCACCCACTGTGAGGAGATGGTGATGCCCCCTGACCATCAGGAACTTGGAGTGGCTTGTTGGAGTCCAGGGTCCCCACAGACCCCACTGAAGTTGAGAAAGGAGAGACAAAAGTGTCTGGCTCGTCCTCAAAGCTGTTGCTATCTTTCCTCCCTTACCTGTGTGAGCTGGGCAGGCCCGCTGCAGGGACTGGGTGGGCTGGTGGCAGGAGATGCTGTCACCTGCAGGTCCACGGTGGGGCCAGTCCTGGACTGGGATCCTCCTCTGCTGCCTGGATTCTGAGCCTCACTGCCAAGACCCAGTGACCTGGATGCTGCCTCCAGACCCTGCTCTCAAATGGAAGGGTTCACAAAGGGAAGTGAAGGCCAGGGCCCCACAGGTTTGATTTCCTGGAAACCAGCTGAAATCCCGTGAGGCTGTGGGGAGGGCCTGTTTCTCCACCCTCTGCCAACAGCCCCACTGCACTCAGAGCCCAGTCTCAAGCAGTCTGATGCCCCAGCTTGGGTGGGGTGTGTGTCTCAGGAAGGACTTTCCCACCCCACCCGGCAGGGTACAGAAAGCAACACAGGCCACGAAACACATTTATTGATGGGAACGACAACCTGTTTCAGCAGGTGCATGCCAGGATGGAGCCACTTCCTGTTCCTGTGTGCTCGCACCACCTTGGTTTGCCTCTTCCCTGGACTGTGGGAAGATGGGTCAGTGGTGTGGCCCCTTGGGGTTGGGGACGCACATATGTCTGGAGCACAGAGTGTCTGGTTTGCTAAGGGCCCAGCCGAGGGCTTTTCTCCATCAGCCACTCCAGGGTCTCCTTGAGATACGACATGTTATAATGCTGGGCAATGTTCTGGAAGATTCCAATCTGTTCTGTGAAGACCTGAGGAATAAGGAGACGCAGTGACACCTGGTCCTCCCCTCCCCCCACCCATAAAAGGAGGCAAGGCCCAGCTGAGGCTGAGCTGGGATGCGACAAGAGGATCCGAGAGCCCCCACCTGAGTGCGGATGGTGAGGGCAAAGTCTCCCGCGCAGCTGCAGTACACGGGCATGTGGGCCTCTTTCACTCCACGACACTTCAAGCAGATCTGAAATGAGGGAGCAGCCCATTGGGCGCTGGACCACTCACTCACGCTGAACCCCGACCTGTGGCCTCCCAGTGGCTTTGCCCAAGAAAGGCACAACTGTGGGACTTCAGCAAACCCATGTGTGCACGCCAGGCCTGCTGTGGATATCACGGAAGACTATCCAAACCTTGCCTGCATCTGACAGCCCCTCACCATGGGCACCCTGCCCCAATCCTGGGGACTTCCTCCACATCCCTGGCTCTGCCATGCTTAGACACCACCCCCATGGCCATCTGGGAACATCCCTGAGGTCTTGGCTCAGACACCCTCTCGGTGGTACCCTCCTGTGGCCGACCCCCTTTCTCTTGTTTCCTTCATATCCTCACCACTCACACACTGTACTGACTGTGATGTCTGCTTCTACAGAAAGCTCAACAAAGCCAGCTTTTGGCCCCACAGATACTGACAGAACAAGCAGACTGGGTTCCTGGACATGGACTGATCCACCTTAGTGCACACTGGGGCAAGACTTGGGACCACACACAACCAAGAGTGCAAATCAGCACCCTGACGCCCCTGAGCCGACTGCAGGGGGGGTGCTCACCAGGTCCTGCAGGGTGAAGGCCATCAGCTTCCTCTGCAAAGCTTCCACCAGGGCCATCTCAATGGCAGACGAGTCATAGGCGACCTGACAGTTGGAGCAGAGCCACTGAGGCAAGACAGCCCCGTCCTGGGGAGAGGAGCAGAAGGGGAGTGGTCACCCCAGGCCACGGCCCCCCAGCAGCAGTGCTGTCGGCAGCGTTTCCACGGCAAGGCCTCGGCACAGAGGAGAGGCTGTGGAGAGACGTGCTCCGGGGTGAAGGGCTGCAGTGTGCACGGCCCCGCTTCCCACCTGCACTCATACATTTACCAGCAGCTTGGGCCATGCAGGAGGAGCCACTTTCTAATCCACGTAGGAACCAGCAGGGCAAACCACAAAGTGGGGACAGCAGGAGCCACGGAACCACTCTGCCTCAGACATCTGAATGCCTGACACTATCAGCAGTGCTCATTCCCGGGATGCTTTGACCCCACCAGGAAGGGCCCGCTGGGGCCGAGTCCCACCTGAGAGAAAGAGGAGTCTTTGCACAGGTCCAGGTCTCGGCAGAAATTACAGCTGCGGCAGATGACCTCAGGGAGCACGTAGGAGCGGCAGGGGTCTCTGAACTGGGCTTCCTCGGAGAATTCGCCAACGTCCACCAGGCGAAGCAGGTCTCGGTTCAGTTTATTCACCTGGTTCGTGACGTTCGTGTCCAGGGACAGCACCTGCAGAGGTTTTGGCCCATCAGGAAGGAGCACCGAGCACTCCCTGCCGTTCCGTCTGAACCAGAAACTGCTCGTTCAGTCTTTTTTAGGATTTTATTTATTTCTAAAGGCAGAGTGACAGAGATCTTCCATCTAAGTCTCCCAAGTGGGTGCTAGGGGCCCAAGCACCTGATCCATCACCCCAGGCGCATTAGCAGGAGACTAAATTTGAAGAACAGCCAAGACTCACACCAGCACCCTCCTATGGGAAGGTGGCATGCAAGCAGTGCTCCACCTTCTATTCCCTGACGCCAGCCCCACTCATTGCTTCTTCACCCCTTTAGAAGCTGTGAGACAGTGCTGTGATGCAGCAGGCTAAGCCCCCTGCCCGAGACACAGACATCCTATATGGGAACAAGTTCATCTCCTGGCTGCCCCACTTCTGATCCAGCTCCCTGCTAATGGCCTGGGAAAAGCAGCAGAACGTGGCCCAAGTGTCTGGGCCCCTGCCATCCACGTGGGAAACCCAGAGGAAGCACTGGGCTTTGGCCTGGCCCAGCACTAGCCATTGCAGCCATCTGAGGAGTGAACCATGGACATAAGATCCCTCTGTTTCTCCCTCTCTCTATAGCTCTGCCTTTCAAATAAATCAATCGCTCTTTGGAAAACAGAGAGAATAGATTGGTGATCTGAGGCCAAAGTCAGTCAGGCCACTGCCCTGTGCTGTGAAACACCAGTAGGTGATTCCCAGGTAACGCAACTTTTCAGCAAGTTCTAACCAAGACCAAGGAAGCAGCTACTGCACCTTAAGAGTGAGCGTTGGGCCGGTGCCACGGCTCACTAGGCTAATCCTCCGCCTTGCGGCGCCGGCACACCAGGTTCTAGTCCCGGTCGGGGCGCCGGATTCTGTCCCGGTTGCCCCTCTTCCAGGCCAGCTCTCTGCTGTGGCCAGGGAAGTGCAGTGGAGGATGGCCCAAGTGCTTGGGCCCTGCACCCCATGGGAGACCAGGAGAAGCACCTGGCTTCTGCCATTGGATCAGCGCGGTGCGCCGGCCGCAGCGCGCTGGCTGCAGCGGCCATTGGAGGGTGAACCAACGGCAAAGGAAGACCTTTCTCTCTGTCTCTCTCTCACTGTCCACTCTGCCTGTCCAAAAAAAAAAAAAAAAAAAAGAGTGAGCTTTGTGTCTTGGGACACCACAGGAACAGCGATGAATGACCACATTGTCTGCCTCTCCCTGCATATAGGTAACATGGTAGAAATGTGAAGTACCTCCTTCATCCGTTAGCAAAACTGTTAACTAGTACCAGGTATGGGGCCGGTGCTATGGCACAGTGGGTTAAAGCCCTGGCCTGAAGCGCTGGTATCCCATATGGGCACCGGTTTGAGATCCGGCTGCTCCTCTTCCAATGCAGCTCTCTGCTATGGTCTGGGATAGCAGCAGAAGATGGTCCAAGTCCTTGGGCCTCTGCACCTACATGGGAGACCCAAAGGAAGCTCCTGGCTCCTAGCTTTGGATCGGCGCAGCTCCGGCCGTTGTGGCTATCTGGGGAGTGAACCAGCGGATGGAAGACCTCTCTCTCTCTCTCTCTTTAACTCTATCTTTCAAATAAATAAAATAAATCTTAAAAAAAAAAAAAACAAAAAACAAAAAACTAGTACCAGGTATTTAACTTCCCATGTGATTAATAATCACACAAATCCATCTATCTAAACCTGGTTCAATGCATGTATTCACCCTACAAGAAACGTACAAAACATGGGGCAGGCATTAAGGTGTGTAGCAGGTTAAGCTGCCGCTTACAACACCTGCATCCCGTACTGGAGTGCCAGTTTCAATCTGGCTTTCTGTTAATGCAGGCAGCAGAAGATGGACCAAGTGCTTGGGCCCCTGCCACCCACGGAAGAAACCAGAATGGAGTTCTTGGCTCCCGGTTTTAGCCTGGCCCAGACCTGGCTGTTGAAGACATTTGGGGAGTGAATCAGTGGATGGAAGATCTGTACTTCTGTCATCACTCTTTCAAATAACTGAATCTTAAAAAAAAAAAAATCCTATAACCAAACTCTGGTTATGGAATAGCCAACTCAGGCAACTGACTGGTTATCCCTAGGTTAAGATTTCAGTGTGTGCAGCTGAGTGAACTATTTTGATTTTCCAACCAGACTTACTATTTCAGTCAACAAGGCCTGGGGAGAGTGGACTTCTCTACAGTGAGAGTATCCCACTAGGTTCCAGTGAGGAGTTCACCACACATTTAAGGAAGGAACAAGACTCTATGTGAGATCTTCCTGCAAACCACAGGGAGGACACCCAGCTCACCCTACGAGTCAGCGTCACCCTGGTATTATCATGAGCAGACACACAAAAATCCTCAGCAAAATAGTACAGACTAAACTCTCCAAATATAAAGAATACATATCCAGAAATAGGCCTGCACAGACACAGCCAATTAAGCTTTGAAAGAGACACCAAGATGATCTAATGGAAAAGGGATGATCTTTGCAACAAATATTTCTGGAATAACTGGAGGTCCTCATGCAGAAATATGAGCCTTGCCTTCCTTTCGGCCGGAGCCGCCACCTTTCAGTAATTCGCCAAATGACGAACACAAAGGTAAAGAGGCGAGGTACCCGGTACATGTTCTCCAGGCCTTTCAGAAAACATGGAGTTGTTCCTTTGGCCACACACAGGCGCATTTACAAGAAAGGTGACATTGTGGACATCAAGGGAATGGGTACTGTTCAAAAAGGAATGCCCCATAAATGTCCCCATGGAAAAACTGGAAGAGTCCACAATGTTACCCAGCATGCTGTTGGCATTGTTGTAAACAAACAAGTGAAGGGCAAGATTCTTGCCAAGAGAATAAATGTGCGTATTGAACACATTAAGCACTGTAAGAGCCGAGATAGCTTCTTGAAACGTGTGAAGGAAAATGACCAGAAAAAGAAGGAAGCCAAAGAGAAGGGTACCTGGGTTCAACTAAAGCGTCAACCTGCTCCACCCAGAGAAGCCCACTTTGTCAGAACCAATGGAAAGGAGCCTGAGTTGCTGGAACCCATTCCTTATGAAATCATGGCATGATAAATGTAAGATAAATAAATAAGACCTAATTGATAAGAAAAAAAAAAAAAATATGAGCCTTGCAGCAGGGCTGACCACACGGGCAGCGTGGGGGAAATGTCGGGGTGGATACAGCTCCAGCCACTAGGAAAACTCGTACAATTGCATTAAGAGTTAACTGTACAGCCCTTTATGCCATAAGGAAAACAAATTTTAAAACACTTTAAAGTCAACAGAGGAACTGAAATAGTAAACTAAAAGCATTTCTTCACCACCATCAGATCTTAGGCCGCCACTTGATCTGGGCGTTACGGCGCTGCTGGCGGGAAGGTTAGGCAACAGAATGGGCAGTAAAGTGCAGGGCGGCTATCTGGTAACACGATCCCCTCCGTGGACTTAGCTGCTCCCACACACATCAGCAGCCCAGCAAGCTCTTATCTCGTCTCACTTGGTCTCTGGGTCTGGGCCTGGCCCACGAGCGTCATGTGACCTCTGAGCACCTTCCGCCCTCCGGGGCTGTTTCCCGACTCAGCGAGCTCATGACGCCCAACACCAAGGCTGCTAGGATTGTGCGGGGCCCTCTGCCCTGACTTTCTTCCCGTTGATCACCCTCAGAGGCCTCTGTCCTCACAACACCTGCTCTCTGAGCTAATGGGTCCTTTTGCTTGGTGAATGTGTGTCCCACAGTAACTGAGGCTCCCATAAGGGTAGGGACTCTCCTGTCTTGTTCATCTGTGAGCTAACGCCTCAACTGGGGCTACACGACAGCGACACGGTAAATGTAAGAAAGTATGAGTGACTCATACTTTACACACATGCCGGCATCCTCACCTTGCACACGCATTTGATGAACTCCAGAGCAGGGTTATTGAGCAGCAGGTGAGAACCAGGGAGGAGAGGGAACATGTCTGAAGGCTCGGTGGAGTTCCGAGATCCCGTGACTTTCTTTTGGATCTTCTGGGTGATGGTGAAAAAGCTCTGAGTCAGCTCGTTTGCCACATAATCCTGAGAGAATGTGATCATTCCTGGAAAGGGGTAAGAATGCCAAGGGGAGGAACTGGGTCCCCAGCCGGTGCTGTGGAACGCCCCTGCTCACTCGCACATGAAGGGCGCACAGTGGGACCGGGTCTGTGGCACACAGAGGGGCCTCCTGAGACAAGGGCTGCTCACCAGGAAGGGCTCCAGCGGCCCCTTCAGTGTCCTGGGAGAACTGGCTGGACCCCCTCCTCTTCACGGGGGTGCTCCCTGGAGCAGTGCGCCTCAACTCATCCTTCATGCTGTGGTACACAGCCACGATGTATGCTGTGGAGAGAGGCAGGCAGAAGCCACAGGCCCTGAGCTATGTTTTTATTTATTTATTTATGAATGGCAGGCAGAGTGGACAGTGAGAAAGAGACAGAGAGAAAAGTCTTCCTTTTCTGTTGGTTCACCTCCTCAATGGCTGCTGCGGCCAGTGCACTGTGGCTGGCGCACTGCGCTGATCCGAAGCCAGGAGCCAGGTGCTTCTCCTGGTCTCCCATGTGGGTGCAGGGCCCAAGAATTTGGGCCATCCTCCACTGCCCTCCCGGGCCACAGCAGAGCGCTGGACTGGAAGAGGAGCAACCGGGACAGAATCCAGCTCCCCGAGCAGGACTAGAACCCGGGGTGCTGGCACCACAGGTGGAGGATTAGCCTACTGAGCCACAGCGCCAGCCCCTGAGCTATGTTAACTGGCCCCTCTGCCCAGACAATTCTGGGGGGAACTTGTGGCTGCTCAGGCCACCAGACAGACTGGGCTGAGATACCCCATTAGTGATGCCACTGGATGAGCCCACAATTAGAGACATGGGAATGACAGGGTTCACTGCTAGAGAATAGGAACCTCCATGATGGACAGCAAGTGAAACAATGGCTCCCCACAAAAGCCACAGCCGGACTCCTGGCATTAGCAAACTTCTCAAAAATCTATCCCAGGGCCAGTGCTGTGGCGCAGCGGGTTAAAGCCCTAGCCTGAAGCGCCGGCATTCCATATGGGCGCCAGTTCAAGTCCTAGCTGCTCCTCTTCTGATCCAGCTCTCTGCTATGGTCTAGGAAAGCAGGGAAGATAGCCCAAGTCCTTGGACCCCAGCACCCACGTGGGAGACCCGAAGGAAGCTCCTGGCTCCAGATAGGCACAGCTCCGGCCGTTGTGGCCATCTGGGGAATGAACCAGTGGATGGAAGACCTCTTTCTCTGTCTTTACCTCTCTCTGTAACTCTTTCAAATAAATATAATACATCTTTTAAAAAGAAATCTATCCCATGCTCAGAGGCCCACAACATTTCAGAAGATAACTTGGAAAGTTAAGACTCAAGGAGCAGGGGCCAGTGCTGTGGCACAGTGGGTAAATCTGTAAATCTGCTGCCTGTAATGCTGACATCCCATATGGACGCCGGTTTGAGTCCTGGCTGCTCCACTTCTGATCCAGCTCTCTGCTATGGCCTGGGAAGATGGTCCAGGTCCTTGGGCCCCTGCACCTGCGTGGGAGACCCAGAAGAAGCTTCTGGCTCCTGGCTTTGTGGATTGGTGCAGCTCTGGCCATTGCAGCCATTTGGGGAGTAAACCAGTGGACGGAAGACCTCTCTCTCTGCCTCTCTGTAACTCTGCCTTTTAAATAAATAAATAAATCTTCAAAAAAGACTCAAGGAGCCCCAAATAAAAATATAATCAGGGGCTGGTGACTGGCACAGCCACTAGGCCACCACTTGGGACACCCACAACCAATACTGGAGTGCTTCCTCTGCTTCTGATCCAGCTTCCTGCGAAAACACAGCCTGAGACGCAGCAGGTGATGGCTCAGATGCTAGGGTCACTACCAACTATGAGGGAGATTTTTTTTTAAAGATTTATTTATTTATTTGAAAGTCAGAGTTACACAGAGAGAGGAGAGGCAGAGAGAGAGAGAGAGAGAGAGAGAGAGAGAGAGAGAGAGAGAGGTCTTCCCTCAGATGGTTCACTCCTCAGATGGCTGTAACAGCCAGAGCTGCGCTGATCTGAAGCCAGGAGCTTCTTCGGGTCTCCCGTGTGGGTGCAGAGGCCCAAGGACATGGGCCATCTTCTACTGCTATCCCAGGCCACAGCAGAGAGCTGGATTGAAAGTGGAGCAGCCGGGTCTCGAATCGGCGCCCATATGGGATGCTGGCACTTCAGGCCAGGGCATTAACACGCTACGCCACAGCGCTGGCCCCCTTTTTTAAAAAAAAGATTTATTTACTTATTTTGGAAGAGTGAGAGTGAGAGAGAGAGGGAGATCTTCCATCTGCTGGTTCATTCCCCAGATAGCAGCAACAGCCAGCACTGGGCCAGACAGAAGGCAGAAGCTTCATCTGGTCTCTCACGTAGGTGCAGGGGCCCAAGCACTTGGGACATCCTCCGCCGCTATTCCCAGGCCATTATCAGGGAGCCGGATTGGAAGTGGAGAGCCAGGACATAAACTGGCACCCAGATGGGATGCCAGCAAAGCAGGCAGCAGATTTACCCACTACATTACAGCACCGGCCTCTGCTGTACACACGTGGGAAGTGAACTAGCAGACGGAAGCATGCTCTTTCTGTCTTCGTGTCTTTCAAAGAAAAAAAAAGGCGACGTGGAAGGAATTATTTGGCAGAAGAAAAAAAAGACCAGTCAGTGGGCAGTTGACTCAGCATCCTGGGTTTGTCCTTTGTCACTTTGCGTACGCACACATGGGTGTTCAGGAATGCACGTGGTTACATTACTAAAGCAGCTGAGAGGCTGTCAGGGGGCACAGTGACTCCTCTCCGCCCCGAGGGTGAGAGGCATCAGGGGAGGGAGAAGGCACAGTGGCTGCAGGGGCCCTGGGCTGAGCCTCCTGAGCTCTCGTCTGCGGGGTAGTCCCAGACCTGACTTCCAGCCGTCCCTTCTTGTGACACACTGTACCGGAGCCAGTTATTAACCATCAGGGGCTCTGCTGAGACAGAGTACAAGCTGTTCTTCCCAGTGCGCAAGGCTCACCTGAGACAATCATGAGGAAGTAGCTTTGGCAGGAGGCTGCCTGGGGCAAAAACTGTACAATATTCCAGTTGTTTTCCAGTAAGTCCTCCACGTCAGACTCCTCCACACCGTCCTCCTCATGTGAGTCGTCTTCCTCGTCGTCCTCCACTGTCTCCCCTTCCTGAGCGTCTTCCTACAACACAGACAATCCTGGCTGTTTTTGGCACACAGCACTGCACCATGTGTCTGTCTCACCAGCGCTGCATTTTCCTGGACCTAAGTAAATCCTGCAGGCTGCTCCAAGAACCAAGGGAGGGCCGGCACTGCAGCTCACTAGGCTAATCCTCTGCTTTGCGGCGCCGGCATACGGGGTTCTAGTCCCGGTCAGGGCGCTGGATTCTGTCCCGGTTGCCCCTCTTCCAGGCCAGCTCTCTGCTGTGGCCCGGGAGTGCAGTGGAGGATGGCCCAAATGCTTGGGCCCTGTACCCCACAGGAGACCAGGATAAGTACCTGGCTCCTGCCATTGGATCAGCGCGGTGCACCGGCCGCGGCAGCCATTGGAGGGTGAACCAATGGCAAAGAAAGACCTTTCTCTCTGTCTCTCTCTCTGTCCACTCTGCCTGTCAAAAACAAAACAAACAAACAAAACAAAACAAAACAACAACAACAAAAAAACCAAGGGAGGCGCCTAGTGCTCAAAAATGCTCAGAACATGGGTGACGGTGACTCTCTCTGCTTTTACAGGGACGCACTATACAATTCAACTCCACCTCCTAAGGCGGGAAAAATCAACCAGAACCAGAACTCCCCTGGTTTAGGAACCTCTTCTGGGAGGCTCCCATCCTATCACTGACCCACGGTTACTGCCGACGTCCTTCCTGTGAGCTCCGTGTTCCTGCTGGGGGCATCCCCTTCTCACATGCACACTGCCAGCTGCCAGGCCCCTGCCCAGGGCTGCTGTCTTCACAGCCTGTGCTTCCTTCCTTCCATCAGTAGCTGTGCTCAACCAAGCACAGCCTGTGGATCGGCTGGCGCCTGGCAGACTCAGCCTTGTCCCACAGTTCTCAGCAGCTCCGGGAA